AAAGGATGCTAAAGACAACCAGAAATTGGAATGTAGAAGAGTGCTTCTCAAAAACCAGTGTACACTGATGGAGATACACTGATGGAGAGCCGTGCAGCGCGTGTTGGTGAAGCAGCCGACATTCGGGCGAGGCGGTGGGCATGGCTGCCTGCAGAACAACTTGGAGGTGGAAAAAAGCAATTGTCAAGGAAGTAGATGAGATGAAACCAGTGAGTCACCTTTTCATCTCTGCCTTACTGCATCCAATGATTAAAGCACAGCTCTTCTGTCTGCAACTCCTCCTATGACAGAAACCTGTGCTTCAAAGACACAAGCAAGTACATGCGGAGCAGAGACATCTCGCTGAGATATTTAACTTAATTGATCCTCCCTATAATACGATTTTCAACTTCTCTTGCATCTCCTGGCAAAACAAGTGGAGAAAAATAAACCAAACCAGTTTGACACCTAACGAACCCCTCCACACCGCTGCACACTCATAGGACTGGCAGTCCCTATCTCAGCAGGCACAGGAACCTTGGCTCCAGGGTTCATCCAATGTCTTGTTTTCGCACTGCTCTTCACTTATCTTAACAGGGCAGGGAAGCCTTTAATTGCAAAGTATAAAAACAAGTTAAAAAAAAAGCAAAAAAGCAACAACCCACAGCTTCCTGCCTGGTGGGAACAAACCTGCACGCTGGGCTGGGTGCTGACTCGAAACTCTTGGAGGGGTTGGCTCCATCTTGCTGCCATTGAGTTGTCTTAGAGCAGAGAGGTGGCCACGGCCTCGATGGGTCATTTCACAGCATACCTACCTATTAGGTCTTGGCCCTTTAGACCAGATTTACAAGGGTTTCCCCTCAGCCACTATGCTTGGAAATGGATACTGAAGTCCCAGGTTACCATGCCTTTAAAGCAGCCAACAACCACATCAAATGGAGTCTTAAGAACTCTGTTTACCATCTGATGGTTGAAGCTAAGCTGGGTATCCCCAGTATCAGCATCACTGTATCTCTCAGCAACCTTCACCACTGCATCCTTGCAACAGAGTGGGCAATTCTTTAGAAACACTTTGAATCAAGAAGTCCAGATTTCCCCTTGGTCTCCCTCAAATCTGAGCTATGAAAGTCTACAGGATGAGCTCGCATTCCAACTTTTCTCCAATATCTTGGCTCATATCTTCCCAGAAATCCGTAGGGTCGTTGTACCTTTGAAGCCCACTAACCAAATACAGCCAAAATGGGCAAGATGATTCCTAAGTCTATGGGAGAAATTTAGACAGGAACAAGGAAAGAACAAGCACACATTTTGTAAAGCTGAACACTCCTGCCTAAACTTTTATACTGCATCTCCTAAATAGAAAAAAAACCTCCAAGAAATATGTGAAAACTATGCAGAAGAGACAGAAAATTTGTATGAGAGGAAGATGAATGGAGCACGTAGCAGGGACAGAAGGGAGCTGTGTTCTTGAGGGGAATGCTCTTGTATCGAGCATCCCTATCAGAGGTAATAAGGAAAAATTAATGCATTGGAGGGAGACCTCTCATTACGCAGCTGGCCGACATCCAACACAAACCCACAGTAACCACAACCGGCTTTCAAACACAGTAAAAAGAGCACATAAAATGTTTGCTATTTGACAAGCGGTGAGCAGAGCAGCTGTTACACACCCAAACCAGTGTTTGCCTATCTTACCTCACTGCTGGGGTTTGTAAAGCTGATGCTCAAATTCACAAGAGCCATCCCGCTGCAACCAAGAGGAGGAACAAAAATGATGGAGCAGAAGAGAGGAACCTCCCAGCCCTCATCCCTCACGTGTGCGTCTCTGGGATAAGGGCTCCAAATCGCCTCCATGCAGAAAGTTTGCACTTCCAGTGGGCATTCAACACACAGATTTACAATCTGCTGGACAGAAGGAGAGGCCTCGAGAAAAGAGCTCTAATCCAGCTAGGATGTTCCCTTGCCAGAGCCCAGAGTGAAATTCTTCGAGCGCTGGAGACAGATTTTCCTTGGCGGGCGGCCACAAGTGTCGATCTGGCTTCTAGGAGAGATCAGCATGGCCGGGGATTGCAGCGACTTCACAGACAAATATAAAACCTTCCTCTTCAACCAACTTGCTTGTAGTAAACCCATGGAAATGAAAAGCTAAAACACTTCCAGCTGGCCAGAAGGCTGCGGTGAGAACAAGGAACTCATTGCACGTGCAGACTTGGGCTGATGTGGAGTATCCTGGAGCTCATCAGTGGCACTTGGGCATGCCGTGGTATTGGGACCCAAGTGCCTAAGTCACTTAAGAAAGATTTAATAGCTCTACTTTCCATTACAGGGATCTTGTATTTGAGAATCAAATCTGATCACTGCATTCTTCTTCCATTTTACATTTTATTGTGCTAGTAAATAATTTTCATTTTAAAGCAACTTAATCTCAAGACACTTTGAATTTTTTCTTGCATATAGAATTGCTTTTGTGTAGCTCAAGGTTAATAGTACTGAAATACAGTGGGAAAGAAGGGAGGAATCTCTTTAATTGTCTTACAGTGAGTGTTTTCTGTCTGGTTACTTTAATTATCTACACAGCAAAGCTACCCTGCTCATGCGGAACCATGCTAATTGGCAGGATTGCCCCAAGGTGGGTATAGATTTACCTAGAACACAAACCTGGAATTATTTTTAACCTTTTCAAAAGCTTGTATGGATTTCAGGATGGAAACACTCCTTCAGCAGCTATGCAGGAGCTCCTTCAACTTCAGGTGGGAACATCTTCCTAGGATGACAATCATAGAACGGTTTGGGTTGCATGGGACCTTAAAGACCATCTGGTTCCAACCCCCTGCCATGGCAAGGCTGTCATTTTTCTACGTCAACACTGTGCTAACATTCAGTGGCATCAAAGGAAAAGAACCTAAAGAGAACAAGTTAAAAGCAAAGCAAATAAAAACGTAAAGACCTCTCTTTGCTGCACCTCCATCCACCTGTTCACCCTCCAGCTCCCAGCTCCCAGCTGGAGACGCAGCCCAATTGGATGTTCCATGGTGGTGGAAGTGTGAGATCTCTGACAGTCCTGGAGCAGTGGATGAAGCTTCACGCAGATACCCAAAGCTTGGTGACACGTTCTGCGCCACGGGGTCAGGGCAGCAGTATGGCAGAGGCAGCTGGGAACCATCTCCAACCCTCCCGTGGTCACTAATCTCAGTAAAGCAGCGATAAGCGGACTGAGCTCTGCTTGCAGAAATGAGGTTGTCCATTATTGCTACAATCCTTGGCACCAACGAGCATTGCTGTTATCCAGCAGAACATCTAGGACTTCCTGTTCTCACCTGGCACTCAGCAGGCCTGAGCTCCTCCCCTGCTCCTTGCAACATTCAGAAAGGCCATAATTTTCAAATGCGAGAAAAAGGTGGGACTGCCCTCCTAAACGAAGAAGAAAATGTTCTGTACAAAGGAGAACATTTGACAGAGGAGGAAGAATGGTAGAGGGCTACTGTTCAGCCTCTCCCTTGCTTGAGCTGAATTCATTTGGCTGCGTTCTGCACTTACGAGCTGTACAAACATTTTGCACATCCCAGCCTGCTGCTAATGCACTGGCTCAGAGCAGCTCAACCTCACAGAGCACTTTTACGGCGTCTCATTCTTCAGAAAGCCACAGCTTTCCTCTTCAAAATCCCCACATTCATGTCTTCGTGCTTGGAAAGGAACCAAAGCCTTCACATTTCCTTATATCTGGGAGGCTGCAAGTCAATAAAGTGCCAAGAAGCTAATGAAGATAAAAATGTCAACACGCGGCCGTGATAACACGCACCTTTTTTGCAGACCTATCTTGAACGTTCTGCAAACAAATTTGGTACTAACTCACAGGCTGGAGTACGAAGGGCACCCACACGGTATCCCAATGCTATTAAAGTTATCGCTGCCTTGCAAAAGTGTCATTGGATGATGGATTGCTCTGCACCTCAATTGGATTCAGAGAAGCTCTCAAACCTTTATGGGTTAAAAGCGGCTCCAGTGTGGCTCAGAGTCACAGTGGTGAGGAGATCATCGATACAAGAGATTATGCAGATTTAAGAAATACCCTCGGCACCCGAAAGTTTTCAGAATGCAAACTACGTCAACTCTGAAAACAAGAGGCACTGCATCATGATGGCAGGAGGGACAAAGCCAGGGGGGTTTAACAGACAAAAAAAGATTGTTTTAATAGGAGAGAAGCATCAGTCATTGAGTCTTACTTCATTCAGACTTTCTATCCAACCCATCCATCTTCAGTGCCAAGAGATGACAGGACCACCTCACTTTTTCCCCCCCGGCCTAGTGGATTCATAATGCCCATTTCCAGCCCTAACAAATGACTCACTGCAATGGCCCCTTTCCCCAAACCGGCTTGCCAAGCCCTACGAATGTCTCGGTACCTGCTATGGTCAAGTTGGCTCTTTGGGACCCTGGAGAGGTGGGCACAGATGGTGGAGCCCAACCATCTTCTACAGCAGCCACTTGATCACTCGTGGCCAAGTGACACTCACTTATGACATCAGTGGCACAGAGGACCAGGGAGGGGGAGCAGGACCGAGGGCAGACGCACCACACACACCCTTCCCACACCAACCGGAATGCAAATTGCTCGCCAAACGTTTCTCCAGGCATTATCTGCAAACAAAAATGCTCAGAGCAGGCGGTCTCTGCATCAGTGCCTTCTCTGTTCGCAGCACCTGCTCCGTGCCAGCCATGCCGATATCATTCTGCCATGGCCACAGAAGCCAATGGGAACACAATGGCCCCGCCGAACAGGGTCAGGGTTCATTCTCCCTCTCCCCATCCCACCAGTCCCCTTCACCTCTGCCATCTCCAGGAGCAAGGAGTGAGGAGGTGGTTTGGGGCACAGGGAGGCGGGGGAATGCCCGGGGGGGGAATATAGGTCTCTGGCGTAAATCACCAACGCCGTTTCCCCTCCTCTCCCTTTCCTTAAGACCTGATGGTCTTCAGTCACACATCTTAAAAGAAAAACAAAAAACAAAAACACAAAGACTTACTTGTCTCAAGTCGATGAAGGCCAACTGCAGCGTGTCCCCTTGGAACCCAGGCACTGGGCCGGATCTGGCAAACTCTGTGGGAAAGAAAAGAGGATAAAAAGCGCCTTTAACTAACCATGGACAGGGAGATTGGCAGACGGATGACAGGGAAGACAAGAGAGGCTGGGGGAGAGGAGGACCGCGCTTCTAAGGAGTCATGTCTCCCTCCCTTCAGCCTCTTTGTTCGCCCTTCAAAATTCGTGTCATCAAAACACCATTAATTCCACCGTCCTGACAGCAAGGAAACTGTACTAATTCGACCTGAAATTTATTCCCATGAGCCGTACTGGGCTTCAGAGTATTTGTTTTGTGAATGGACAAACAACTCGCGGAGAAGAAAGGGGGGGATGGGGGTGGAAAAGTTTTTCCTCTCGACACAATAAAATCTTCAGCTCTGAAACTCTTTTCAGTTCCGAAAGCTATTTATATTTTAGGGCACTGAAGGAATTTTCTAATTTCACGCCTGTCACCAGGCTCCATAAGCATTCATCAAAAAAATATGCCCGGCCGCATCATTAATTATTCGGCAGCAGATTATTTGCATTATCTGGTATGGAGCACTACTGCCAGCATACAGCCACCCCAAATGGGAAGAATCGCGGCCATTATGTGGCATATTTCTTTATTTTGGATGAAGACATCTGACAACTGAATAACGTTGGCTTCGAAAGCGAAGAGAATATTTTCAAGGCCACATTTACCTCCTTCCAATGTAATCTGGCCAAAATTTCATACTTAAGTCATTTATTTGTCTTCCAATTCATTATTTAAACCAAGTCTAAAGCCACCAAGGGGGACTTTAACAAATTCATGTTAGAGGACCTTAGTTCTTCCATGCCATTTAACAGCTTTTCCTTGGTAGCGCTCATGAAGCCAATGACTGCATACATTCAAGTGTGTCTTTTGAAGATGTGTCCAAGGTTGATTTTGCCCAACTTCCCTTAGTTTTCGCCCTCTTTAGCTACAGAAATAATGGCTTTATCTCTGCTCTCCATGCAACTTTTCATCACCAAGGGGACCTAACTTGTGAAGCCACAACTCGACGCCATGAAAGACTCAAGAGGGAGTTTCCACTATAGGCTGAGTTTTGCTGCTCCTGGAGACACGGAAGATTCGACATACTGGAATGGAGAGCTTTCAGGAAATGAAACAAAGCGTGATGGCAGAAAAGAAGGGAGGGAAAAATACACAATAACAATACAACGTGTTTTTATGTTATACAATGCCAGTGCCTACTATTGCTCAACCATTCTCGTTTTCTCCATTCAAGAATCTACAAACACTCCTGCAGTTGCATAAAATGAAGGAATGGGGAAGGCTCAGCAATGAGAAAGGAGGATTTTCCCTTCTGTCTCCACGACTGCACAAAGGTACCAGTGGACAAAGCCTTTCCCTAAGCCCTGTGAAGAGTCATTTTGTGCCAGGAAGTCTTCTCCTTGTATACTTCTCCTCCCTAAAGTCATCTCACTTTCAAGCAAATGCCTCAAAAGAAGGAAAACAAATCTCCACTGATTTCCTGTGGCAGCTTAGTCATATGGCTTTAATAAGGAAGATTAATGAATTAGCAGGGATTCAGACCTGCTCCTTAACTGACTTATTTCTGGAAACCAGAAAAGTGTTTCTTGCTGGCTCTCTGGCATCACCTTCCATTAAAATCTCAGCATGGAGAACATCCTTTAGTACAGACAGCAGCACCTCCAGGGCACTGAGGCCACCTCCAGACATTGAGAGCTTTGCTTTTTAATACACTCGGCCAACAGAAGGGCTCTACAACTGAAATGATGGCTCATCTTTGCAGTGTTCACTGAGATGCAGAAAGTAAAAGCATGACCCAAAGGCAGAAGAACCCACCCACAGCTGTTCCCATGGCCTTCTGTCACTTTTGCACAGGATAGGACTGGGCAGAGGACAGTCCAAAGTGAATTCTTGCTTAACCCTCCAAAACTATTTTAATTACTTCTAACTGCTTACGTACGTTTGCTATAAAGCTTGAGCATAGCTTGCCTCAACCAGCGCACTCACACAAAGCAACAGTGAGACAAGCTTTCTGACTCTGCTCTGTGAGGGATAAATCATCTTTACACATTTGCTGTACACCCCACTGTCTCATCTGGAAAAATTATCCCCAAAGCCACATCAATCCTGTAACACTTCTACTCTGAAGAAGCACGTACCTGAGAAGCTAAAAACATTTAGATATGGGAAACAGCTTCCTCTTGAGAGGTGAATCTGTGCCGGGCTTCTCCGTACCACTAATGTCTCTAGGTTGAAATACCCAACAAGCTGGCTCAGCATTATGTCCCACGTTCTACAGATGGGGCCTCCTCATGTTACCCATTACATTTGAAGCAACAAAAAGAGAAACCCTGAAAGAACTGAATTGAATTTTCTATTTTAGATGGAAGGGTTTTGCAGCTGCTAGGAATCTATTTCGAAGTACACATGGAGTTTAAGGCCTTCCTACAAGCACAAATTTCAAGTAGTCATGAGAAAACGCCTGCAAATTGATCTTAAATATTTTCAAAGACTTGTGAATCTGCCACTATTGTCATCCACTCGTGAGCAACGTGAGATAAATGGATTTTATCCCATGCCACAGCTCACCTTCAGCAGTCTCTTATTAACCAACCCTATGGGAGTTAACACTGGGAATTATGGAGTAATATCACCCTTTAACAAGACAAGTTATAACAACAGTAGCACACGGAACGTGCTCTTTATTAACCAAAATTTGCTTCAACAGCAATTCTCATAAAAAGAACAGGCTGGAGTCTCTATGGCATTAACAATGCACTTGACATCCATGGAGTGAAATGACACATGAGATCACATTGCTTGTGTTACAGAAGAAATTAGATCAAGACCACAGCTTGTATGCAAGAAGAAAGCTGCTCCAGCAATGGACTGTAAGGAGCCAAAAGAGGAATGAATGCAATGCTTCACCCCGTGGCTGCTACAAAAATAGCGGTACCTCCTGTAATCAGAGGTCACACTTTACATACCAATGCCACAAACTTATTTTGGATGGAGAAATAAACAATGCCTTAAAGAAAAAAAGAAACAAAGAAGAGAACAGAGCTTTAGAGGAGAGACACAGCCAGTTCTTCTTGGTTTTAATCTCTTCAACCAGATTTCAGGATAATTTTCTCGGAACGACCAAGCACAGTGCTGGCCTCGGTACTGTCGGATTCATTTATTGTACTTTCTCCACTACCAAGGCAAGTGGCAAACATAGCAAGCCACCTACAGTACAGCCCCTTGAGCAGAAAATCACAAGAGAATAGAGCAGATCAGTATGCGCCTGTTTGTACAAAGCATTTAGCCAGGCTAAAGGTTTGAGAGACTTGTGTTCAGGCCAAAAAAGTAATGTCTTTGCAAGGTCTACAGGCTTGGGCCACCCAGGGCAGGTCACAGAGGGACTCTAACCTCTCTTCCAAAACATTTCACCAATGAAAGAATCAAGGAACAGGAACCGTTAAGCCCTTTACAATGAACAAAGAATAAAGAGTTCAAACACACACAAGAAAAGAGACATCCACTGGAAATTAATTATAGAGAATTGGAGGAATCTCTTTTTGTATACTGTACGCATAGGGATAGAACCTTACACATATTGTGTGGTTAAAGTAAACACAGCTGGCTACTTTATTCCTCAAAAAGATCATCTTGAGGGTGAGATTTTCCCTCAATTACTTTACACTGCCAGAATTTACGACGGCAGACCTGCAGGATCGAGGTTACAGCTACTCCTGTTGAGGGGAACCAGGAATATCCACTTGTGCTTGCACCTCTTTTGAAAGAGTTTTTGTTTTAGGGTAAATAATCATGTCCACATCCCCTAATGAACAATCTAGGTCTTAAAACCATCGTCTGTAGATAAACTCTTTGAAGATCATCTTAGAAAAGTCAAGCAACAGGACTCCTTGCTCCTTACCCTGAGGTACAAAATGACCCGAGGATTCTCAAGATGAAGAACAAGTGTTTGCATGGACTGGAGATTCTCAAAGGCAAAAAAGGACAGCAGGGACAGCTATGAGTGTAGGCAATGGGAGGATGGAATGTCCTGTTGGCAGAGGACGTATTATTCTCTTCCCAACTTTTGTTGAGCTTATGTGAGCTTATACCTCCATCCAAATCACAGGATCATAGCATTTTAGGATATCCCAAGTTGGAAGGGACCCATGAGGATCATCTAGTCCAACTTCTGGCTCCACACAAGCCCATCCAAAAATCAGAGCACACATCTGAGTGTTGTCCAGATGCTCAGGCAAATGATCAAAGCTCAGTGCCACCTCTGGAATCTCAGAGGGCTGCAGGAAGAGGAAGAGCCATCCAAAATCCACCCAGCAGCATCAGATGACATCACAAGACTCTACCACCATCATTTGCTCTCTGAAGGAGCAACGACGAGCATGGAGCTCCAACACTGCATAGAGATGTGGTCCAGGGGCTGCTCACTGTGCATTGGAACACTGGGATCTGTTATCCTGTAAGACAGGTACACAGAATCTATAAAGGTTCCCAAACCCAAAACCCAAGACTTCCAATGGATGTCTCTTATCAGTGGGAAGTTCTCTACTCCACTAAAACACGAATACTAGGAGAAGTGGAATCAAGTATCAGTGGTGTGTGTGCCATGCTCAGTGGGGAGAGAAAGCAGGTGCAGAGCTGGGGGATGGTGGTCCCAGTGAGTTCCAAACATTGTTCGAACTCACGCAATTACAATAGATTGCTCTTGAAACCAAAGAGCTATTCTTGCTAAAAGCCAAGAAGAAGGTAGGAGACCAGGTAGTGAAACCCTCCTCTCTCTTTGTTATAGTGGAACAAAACTGATTTAGCTCAGGCCACAGGGAGATAAAACCCAGCTGCACTGTGTAAAAAGGTTTCTGAAATCTTTGTTAGTTTCTTTCCATATATTTTAAACAATTCATTAAAACACAGCATAAAGGTAACTCCACTGAGAGGCCCATTACTTTTCATTTGCTAGGAAAAGGAATGAAAGCAAATGCTGAGGATTTGGAGGAACCCGAGTCATACTTTCAAAGTCTAATTTAAATAGGTGTCGACAGGAACATTTTCTCTTCCTCCAGTTGCAAAGGATGGCAAAGATGGGAAAATACCAGCGAACATCCTGCTAACAAAGGAGAAGAGGGGAAGGTGTTGGAGATGGAGGATATCTGTAATGTTGCAGCCGACAGCGTAGGAAACAAGAGGACAGAAGAGATTTGGAGGACACCATGGAATCAGCAACAAGTTTACAAGGGAGATGGAAAACCCTTCCAGTGGACACTGGAAGAGAAGCTCAGTGATGGGGAGCTGTGTGTGCTTCCCACCCGCGCACGCTTACAGCACTGACCACCAGGCACTGCTTCCCTTGCAATGCAAGTGCAGAATCCTAAAAGGAAGGCATTTCTTCCCAGAAATGCAGCGCTCATCCCCAGCAAACCAATGCACGATGCACTTAAGGCTACCAGAGGAGCAGGCAGCTGTGCTTTGGGTTTGTAGGGGGAGGGAGGGCTGCCCACAGCACCGAGCGGACGATGGGATTTCCGCGTGAGAAAGTTCTTGGGGCCAGATAAGGCAGCCAAGAACGAGGTGGTAAACAGCTGCCCAGGGACCCATATAGGCACACGTTGGCGTGCTCTCGTGTTGGGTTCAGTGCTCCTCAAGCTGGCTGCCACGTCTGCGTTCCTTTATTGACTGCACCCATGAGTGGGCTGAAGGAGAACGCGGAGTTGAGTGAAATTTTAAATATAATTTTACGGTGCTTTTAATTTCTTGTAAAGCAGCAGTTAAAAGGCTTTGGAGATCGTGGAACTGCTTATTTTATGACCTAAATATTGTAAAAACAATCTGCCTCAATCGCCTCTGGAATCAGTTAGAGATGTGAAATGCTTTTGTACAAGGGAGAGCAGCCGCCTTCCCCTTCTCTTCTTCTATTCCAACCTCCAAATTGGGGTTGTTACATCAGATTCCCACTGCCCTGGAGGTGAAGAAGATGAAGACAGACCAACACCAGCACCAGAAGGTCCCAAAAAGAGCGGAGCATGGAACCAGGCAAAAGGGAACGAAGCAATCACAAAAAAGTACCATGAAATCTTGGGTTGTGGACCTGTGCTGTAAGACCACAAGGCCATTTTAAAGAGCAAACATCTGTTCTGAAAAAAGAATCCCCTCTTCTATTTCCAGGTTTGCAGAAGTATTTGTGTTGCTTTTCTATTTTTTTTTTTCATTCCCTCCAGAGTTGTTTTTTTTTCTCCCTCTTTTCATGTTGGCTCCCTGGGCTGGTGCCAGAACACACTCCTAAATTGAGACATAATTAGACGTGTCCTACTGTGTCTTTCTGGACAACTCATTTAACCTCTACATCTTACTTCACTCTAGGTTTAAATAAGAGGTGAGAGAATCTCTCTCGGCTGCATAAGAAGAGCTATAAAAGCCAAACGATAACAAAGAGTTACAAGTAATAGCAAAACTTCACATCTTGGTTTGCTCCTCTCTGCTGCAGCCCAAGGTTTTCTTGTGCAGCCATTCCCATTACACTGAAAAGAGATCATTTCTAAATTAGAAGCTGTATCATGGACCTACGAGTCTGGGGAATTAATTTACCCGTGTCTTGGCTCAAGCTTAAGCTATTATCCTTCTCACCTCTACAGCTACTACACGCTGTGTACATAACCATATTTTCTTGCAATGTTTGTTATATCTACTCCTATATAGAGTAAGTTAGCTGCATCCCCTTCAAACTATGCTTAATTCACTATGTTTCCATTGATTTGTCTCATCACTCTCCTCACAAGATTACATTTTGTCATCTGTTTTACTCAGCTCTGAAGGCATCCAGGGAGGAGATCCTGCTTAGAGACCCAAGTTACCGACGGGGTGGAAAACTGCAGGGTCACGAGTCTGTTTGCAGCCAAAAGAAAAAGAAGGAAACGATTTCTAATGACAAATGCTTCCTATTATTCTCAGCACCACAGACTGTCCCTGTGCGGACACAGATTGAGAACACAGCTGCTACCGGTGTAGCTGATGGGACACAAATTAGACAGCCAGAATTGAGGGCTGAAGGCACTTCTGAAAGAAAAATAAGGTGTTGCTTGCATTGTGACATATGATATAGCTGCAAACTATGGATACGATTCATTAAACGCTGATCCTTCTCCCAGGTTCTTCTGCATGCAGTACTGTGAAAAAGCAAAATGATGACCAGCCGTTAAAGAATAGCCCCTATCGAACCCACACGATCTTACAGGTGACCTTTCAACAGAATTTAATCTCTCAGCACTTACAGTCAAACTGGAGCATGATTAGCAACACTTCTGCAAAGGGCAGGAGAATATAGTCTGACAGCATTAAGTGCCAAAATGAGGACGTCCACAGTGCATTTCACTGAATGAATGGAGTTACCAAAGATAGGAATGGCAGCTCCCAGCTATTTAGGTTCCAACACCATTCCCAGTGAGGACAGAGATATCTTGCTGTGGGGCTTGACAGGAATCACATCAGGGCAAAGAGTGTTTCAGAAGATTCTGCAATGAAGAGGTTTGTGATGATCTAAAGAGCAAACGCTCCAACCTCCTTATCAACCCAGAAAGCCAAAACGATGAGTATATGCAATACACTTCCTCCCAAAATCCTTATCAACCCAGAAAGCCAAAAAGATGAGTATCTGGAATACACTTCCTCCCAAAATCTTCATCCACTTGAAGTATTTCTTGAACCCTATCAAGCTGAGTGTTTTCCGTAGCCATTCCTTTTGTGATACGTTCACAATCACAGAACATAATCACAGACTCACAGAATGGTTTCAGTTGGAAGAAACCCTTAAAGGCCATTTGCTCTCACTCCCTACAATGAATGGGGACACCCACAGCTCCATCAGTGCTCAGAGTCCCTCCAGTCTGATATTGGGTGTCTTTCTGAGGCACCATCACCTCTCTGGGCAACCTGTGCCAGTGCCTCACTTTACTGTAAATAACTCCATCCTTATACCCAGTCTAAATCACCCCTCTTCTAACCTGAAACCATTTCCCCTTGTCCTATCACAACAAGGACAAGTCTCCTGTCAGGTCTCTCCAGACCCTTCTCTCCAGACTTTAGATACCAAGCACCTAAAACCTGTCAGACAGCCATGTATCTGAGCTAGCTTTGGCCAGTATTCTCCAAGAAAGGGCACTGCCCTGCTGCAGCACCAGACTGACCACCCCTGGAGAGATGCCCATCCAGCACCAGTGTGCTTCAGTACAAGGCAGCAGCCCCAAGAGATGAACATGCCCAACTCTGTCTGTCCCAAGACACCGTGACCATCTCTCACCTCTCTGGTTCATGGTTACCTGAATCAGATAATATATGTGGTTATTTGTTCAGCATGGAAAAGAGAAGGTTGTAGGGTGACCTCATTGCAGCCTTTCAGCACCTAAAGCGAACCTACAAACAGGAGGGGAGTCAATTCTTTACAAGGATAAATAATGGCAGGACAAAGAGAAATGGTTTGGAGTTGAGGGAGGGGAGATTTAGACTGGATATCAGGGGAAGTTCTTGACAGAGAGAGTGGTGAGGTGCTGGAACAGCTGCCCAGAGAGGCTGTGATGCCCCGTCCATCCCTGGAGGTGTTCAAGGCCAGGTTGGATGGGGCCCTGGGCAGCCTGGCCTGCTACGAAAGGTGGAGGTTGGTGGCCCTGCATGTGGCAGGGGTTTGGAGCTTTGCTATCCTTGAGGTCCCTTCCAACCTGGCCATTCTATGATTATATGATACCAACACAGAAACTTTTCAAACCCTTTTTGTGCTTTTGCCTTCCACCAACACCCTTGCAAGAGCAAGTGCCACCAGTGGACTGCACAATGCTCAAGCCTCCCAGATGCAAAGGTGCTGGGTGACATTGCAGGGGGTAGGTTGGAAGCTGGGGCTGAAAGAACTGCATGGCAGCTCTGTTGCTGCCAACAAATGAAGTTGTCCGTGGGTATGGACTCATCCCCTTTCCCCTTTCTGAACTTCAATTAGCATCTAAAAACAGACTCACAAGGGAGGGAGGATCCTGTGCAGAAGTGTACTGGCCCTGCCTCAGATTAAATGATAAAAATAGGACAAAGCAAGGTGTTCTGTCAGTTCTGTTCTATATTTTGTTAACAGCTACAGACAGCAGGATAATAAGCAACCTGAGAGACATCTTAGGATTTCAGAGCTTATTCAGATGTTAGCTAGATGAACTAAAATGAGCAGGGTTGACTGCAAGCCACATTGGTGGCCCTTACCATGCTCACATGCACACCTCTAAATAGATGTAACAGTTGCTTACAATGATTCTTTCCCATAGCAGTAACATTGCAAAAAGGGGATGCTTTGAGAAAGAATTCCCTGCAGCAGATAAAGACAACTGGCTGCTGTCAGGAAATGACCAAAACTTGTTAAGAACAGTTACTGTTTTCTGAAATGGTTACAAGTGAACTGATTTTTGTGAGCCTTCCCCAATGTTTTACCCACTCTAAATCCTCACAGTTTTAAAACACTCCGTTTCAAAAAGCAGGGATGATCTGGAAAGCATCAGCGAAGCATTTTTAGGAAGAAAAGGAACAGCAAAGCTTTGATCTCTTCGAATTTGCTGAGCTGCTTCTGTGCTGAAGATATTGCCAGATGTCCTCCCAGACAGCAGCAGCGAGCTCTGCCAGTCCCAACCACTTGGCACCACTCACAGCACTGCCCTGGCTCGGGTCCTGGCATACAAATGGGCAAAGGAAAGCAATGGAAAATGGGATGGTAATGCATCTTACGTTCACATTCCTCCACGTCCAGGTTGAACTGCTGCAAGGCGCCCAGCGTCAGCTGCCGCACTTCGGCTTCCAGCAGCAGCTGCATCAGTGAGGTGGACAGGTGTTTGCATGCCGACATGCAGGCGGTCTGTGCCACCTTCCCCTGCAAAACAAAAGGGAGATGTATGAAGGCCCACGAGCATGCATTTACAGCACTAAGCAGCCCCCGCCATCACATCCTACTGTGGACAAGACAACAGGCCCTGTTTCATTTGATGGCCTGCACGGATTGCACGAGGTAACCTGGTTGATAGGTTAAAACGGTGGGAGCGGCGACAACTCAGAACTGCAGCCTACAGCTCAAATTGCATTTATTTACACTGCACAGTATGAGTTTCAAAATCCCATTCCAACAGCGGAGGCACTCAGCTCAACGAGAGCTCTTTCCTGCACGGCATAGGGAGCGCTTTGCTCCTTCACCAGGTTGGGTCATCCGTGGTGCCAGCAGAAATGACTTGGGTCTGTGGAGCAAGGGATATGAGCAGGCTCCTTGGCGTGCACCCTGCAGAGCTGGAGGGACACTGTGATGACCACAAACCCACACTGCAGAGCTGGAGGGACACTGTGATGACCACAAACCCACGCTGATGCTCTTCTGCCTACTTCCAGCGCTGTGTGGCACCATCCAGACACAGGTGAGGAACAAGGAGAAGGAAATGTCACAGTGAGGAAGTGCTGAAGCTGTGTTGGCTTGGATAGGATTGGGGTGAGGTGGTTTCACCCCAATGGGCAGCTCAGCTGTACCACAGTGCTCCCTCACTGCTCCCCCTTCAAGGAAGAGGAGGAGAAAATAGGATGGAAAAGGGTGCAAAGGTTGAGATAAGAACAAGGAGATATCTGACCAGCCATTGTTACAGGCAAAACAACAGAGCTAGCATAGGGAGATTAAGGTAATTTATTGCTTGTTAGTACAGATTAGAGCAGTGAGAACTAAAAGTCACCTACAGGCACCTTCCCTCATCCACCCTTTCCCTGAGTTAGGGAATGGCAGTGGTCAGCCCGTAACATTACATCTCTGCTACTCCTTCAAGGTCACTCCCTGCCCCTGCTCCACGTGGGATCCCTCCCCAAACAGATCCCACAAAGGCTGCCCACAGCTCTTCAAGCACTGCTCCAACACAGCTCCATTCCACAGGGCCCATCCTTCATGAACTGCTCCAGCACAAGTCCACATGGATGGCCCCAGCCTGAGCTCTGCTCTTGCAGGAACCCTCCACGGGCTGCAGCCTCCTCCAGGCCACATCCACTGCTGCACCACAGCTACACATGGAGATCTGCTCAGAGCGGTGCCCATGGGCTGCAGGGGGACAGCCTGCTCCTCCATGGGCCCCTCCTGGGCTGCAAGGAGCTCCTGCTCTGTGCCTGCAGCACCTCCTGCCCTCCTTCTGCACCTGCCTGTTCCATAGAGAAGGTGACCATCAACACTTGGCTCCTCCAGTACACCCATACTTCATGGGGAGACCTACAGGCCAACAGGCTGGAGAAGAGGAGGATCAGGAGAGACCTCATCACTGTCTACAACTCCCTGCAAGGAGGTGGTAGTGAGGTGGGGGTCGGCCTCTGCTCCCACGTAATGGGGATAGGATGAGAGATGATGGCCTCAAGTTGAGTTCTTCCATGGCAGCCTAGAGGTTCCTAAACTCCCTGAGACACCAGGAGAAGACAGAAGTGGAAAAAGTCCTTTCTGTGAGCAACACGTATTTCCCTACCCACCAAATTGCAACCAAACCTTTGTGACAAGCTTCCAAACCAGGCAACAGACTTTTGTTCAACCTACTTGAATTTCTCCACTCATTTACAGTTCCTCAAAAGACTTCCCTCATTGCTTGGGTCCAAAAGTTGCAGCAGGATCTACATAACAGGCTTCTGTATGCAGTGCAGGTGTGGAACATGCATAAAACCCATAAAAATGTGCAGTTCTAGCACAGAAACACAGACTTACAGAAACTCTCTGGCCAATGCTGCATGGAACCATCCACAGCTCAATGCCTGCAACCTCCACGACAGCACTTCTAGTGGTGGGGCTGCCATGCAAACAGCCGTGCTTCAGCTGGAGATTATGTTTTCAAACACACACAAAAGGATTTAACACGCTCTCTTGGAAACGAGGAGTGGCTTAGGAGACATTTACAAGCATTGTACAAATTGTACTCGAACTGGGATTAAAGTGGGGGTGGATCACAAGTTTCATTACCGCAGCACGGACAGATGAGTTTTTGATACATGAACTGGGAAGTGCTCTTGCCAGCTTCACCAAGTAGGTTTGGATGCATGGGCAACATCCATCTTCAGCAGCAGGAAAACTTCCTTTGTCATTAATAAGAAAGCAGAGGCACGCTCGGAGGGCAGGGCACTCCATCTCCATTGTTTACTGCCGTTCCCAGGCTCCGGCAGCGTCCATTACTCACCTCAGAACAAACACCTTTGCTAAAATTAAGATGAAACATGGCAACCATAAAGTTTAGCGCAGCCACGAGTTTTTGCTTTTCATCATTTCCTCGCACCGTTCTGACACACTGGGTTATTTACAGTGCTGCTCGGGCTCATTCCTCAGCCCTGTATGCAGTGGAAGCACGCTGCTATCCGACCACCATTTTTCTTCATTACTTCCAACAGACACTTTGAATCGTTGCTATGCTCCGGGTGTTTTGATGTGTTGTTGAGCAGAAGGCTCAGTCTTGGTCCATCCTCTATGATCCTCACACATCATCCTCTCCACCTGCAGTCCCATAGCTGTTCCCCAGCCAACTTGAGACTCCTTGTGATACGCAACTCAAACCCAAAGCGGACTTTTCCTTCTCATCACCCACTCTGCTCAGAAGAGAACCCAAAAGTCCATAAGCGTGGACACAGGCTGCAACCCCAGAGCAGCTGAGACACAAACCTCCATGGACGAAGTCAAAAGGAAAACCCACAAGAGGGTTTTCAGCCTCAGTGAGAAAAAACATAGTGTAAGACCCTCCTTGTACACCAAGTAAAGGTTGGATCAGAAGCACAGAGGTACCTAAAGGGTTACCTGTGCCTGCAAACACACCTGCTCTGCTGCATGCATTCCTCCGGCCAGCCAAGCTTGCCCAAAGAGAGAGTGAATGACAAGCAACACTGGGAGGGTGAGAAGAACAGCAAATAGTTGAAATGAAATGTCAAGTTAATAAGCCAGACGCAAGGGAGACGGGAGGGAAAAGGCAATTTAATCGTCATGCCCTGACAGCACAACAGCTCTGCAGAGCCTTCGTGGCAGAAGCAGAGCATACAAACCATACAAGCATACAAACTCAAAATTACTGGATGAAAGATAAAAGCATACGCAGGTACTTTTCCTGCCTTGTATGCGTTAATCCATTCTTCCTCCTATTTATGAGCTGTGGGCCTGGAGATGCTTTAAATCACTGTGATAAAGGCCCAGTTGGGGACAGGAGGTCCTCCACCATGGGGCACAGCTGCCTGGCACACCAAGGTCTAACACCTTTCCAGAATTTATGCTCTTTCAGTCTTATAAATACAGATACAGACAGTGACAAAGACGCCACTTACAGCAGCTCTCTGCAAGATCAGCCACTGCACACAAACATCAATTTTATAATATTTTCCCAGAAACCAACTGCAATACCTGCTTGATAAGCAGTTGTTGCTGGTAGGAGAAAAATCAAATGAGGACATTGATCGATTGCTCCTAACAAGGGGTTCTATTTCTCTTTCCTCTTCCAGTTCCTACTGTAGTTCCCAGGATGGCGGCAGTGATGCAAGCCTGTGATTGACATGTTTTTTCCTCCAAACCTCCAAAATCATTACCAGCCCCACCTTGAGCAGTGCCACGACATGTGCCTTGGCTTGGAGGTGTCAGGGGTGCCCATCACAGAGGCTGCTCCTACAGAACCCTGCTATCCTGCTATGGTTTGGAGGAACCAGAGACGCATGCAGATATGGCACTGAGGGACATGGGAAGTGGGGATGGGTTGACATGATGATCTTAGAGGAATCTTAAGGATTCTATGCTGTCTCCTCCTTGGGGACCTACAAAAGCCATTGGATATGGGCCCAGGTACAACTGGGAGTCCCTGCTGGGGCTGGGCTGGACCAGAAGGACCCAGATGGATATCCAGCCTCAGCCAGAATGGGCTCCTATGAACTGCCTGCAGAGATGAGAGTAAAACTAACACTCTGAAGTCACCAATAGCTCATTTACCAACATGACAGAAAACGGAGGAGCTTGAAGTCACAAGAAAACCTCTATCGCATCAGTTGTCTACTTTGCAAACTTCACAAAAGCTGAACAGGATTTGCGTGGGGCAGAACTGGGTGGTGCATGAGTACATGCGGAGCTCAGCTGCTGAGACACCCAAGCACATGCCCAACCACCCTTTGCCCATCTCAAACATGGCCAGCAAAATAGCAATTCTCTTCCTGAGCACACCATCAACAGCCGTGGGTTTGTTTGTAGCCTTTAATGGGCCTGTAACTGCTTTTTTTCCCCCTGTCCATTGCTCTCAGCGCAACCCCCTTGCAGCTGGGGTCTGCAGCTGGTGTTTCCATCACAGGCAGGTTGAACATTAGGAAGAATTTCTCCTCCAAAAGAGTGGTCAGGCACTGGCACAGCTGCCCAGGGAGTGGTGGGGTCACCATCCCTGGAGCTGCCCCAGAACCGTGGCGATGTGGCACTGAGGTGAGTGCGCATGGTGGGATGGGTTGGGGACCTGGGGATCTCAGAGGTCCTTTCCAACCTTAATGACTCGATGATTATGCGACACCTCTCAAGGTGATGCTGCCCATTTGGTGCTCCCAGAGATGCACAGAGGCGTGATACCCAATGAATACCAATGAATAGCCAATGAATGAAGCAGCAGAGCCAAACCTCCCGATGCTGTCCCCAAGATGCAAGCCATAGGTGCCACACATCAGCACAAGCATCCTCGAATCAAGCCCCACCGAGTCAAACACGCTGCAGGAAACCAGCCATGAAATCATCTCATTTCAGCTGCATTTCATCCTTGGGCAGCAGATTAAGCCCTTTGGGTTCCCAGGAGGCAGGAGAAGGTCAGTGCAGAGCCGGCGTTGCTCACGGTAGCGTATTTGTTTGAAAATAGCAAATATGTTAACAATTAG